AGCAACAATAAAGCAGAGCTGTATTGTCAAAACTGTTCCTGATCTTGCTCCTGAAACATAATATATGCAAAGACTCAAAAGCGATAACAAAATAAACAAAATATTTACAAGTTGGCAATTTTTTAACCACAACGCACCAAAATTCATATTGATAAGTGCGTCAAACTGGTTAAACTTAATGCGGATTTATCATTAATGCGATTTGTCAATTTTAAGCTGGGGGTTGCTGAACCGTTATTTGCAAAAGTCTCTAACACTTCGCATTGGACTTTCATCAGTAGAACCTAAATCTTTATCAGACCTAAATCTGCGAACGATGATACTGCAATAAATCTGGAAGCATAAATTCTCCCACGCATATCTTCGCCGATCAAGCGAGTTTTCGATAACATTTTGCTTATGCCTTACTGGTGCCGATAAGGAGCAAGAAATCGAAGCGCAAGCAATGCACTTCAAAACTCTAAATATTCCAAACGAGAAGAGTGGCCAACGCAAGGGATGGCCTTATAAGGTAATCTTAAGCCTCTTAACAGTTGTGAAAACGCAGTCCGGTAAAGAAAGCACAACTCGAAGATAGAGTGCTTTGATAAAGAGAGTGTGTAATGAGTAGCTGCAGCGTCAATCCTCAACTCGGATTTCTACGACGCTGAATTTTTTGATAGCGGAAGCTTTCGTGTCTTTTGTAAAGATAGAGACGCTGAGAAAGAACGGAGCTCGAAAAGAGGTGGCATTATAATAGCTGTGCGACACACATTGCCATGTGCAACGATCCGGTTAAATTACGATGACTCTACACTGGACCAGTTGGCCGTGCTTGTGGTCGGCGGAACTGACACTATTTGTATATGTGTCTCACATATACTGCCTAATAATAATAATTTAAAAATGTTATAATTGCGATAGGGGCTCCATTACTAACACTTTAAATTTTGGAAATATTTTATTTTCAAAGGAAAATTTCTATGCCGCTTCTAGATGCCTTAATAACTTTTCTCAATCAGACTGTGATGGTATATCAGCACTTTTTGAAAACTGTACAACATCACTCTATGAGCCTTTTTTCCAAAGCCCTCTCTGCAGGAGTTTTTTTAAAAGCGGAAAGATTCTACAATCATGCCCATTGCCATATTCCTAATTATAGGGGCATTGCAAAACCAAGTTATATCTCAAAATTATTCGAGCATAAGGTCGTTAAACATATCTCCGTATATCGATCCTTAATAGCATAGCTTCTCGCCGCGCAGAATTACAGTGACCAATTTAGCGATTTTCTAAAATCTTTGCATCCAGAGCTTTAAACGTCGTAGTCAAGTTGATGTACTGTATATTGACTTTTCTAAAAGGTCATCACGTCGTTGTCGTTGAGAAACTGTATAGGCTGGGTTCTCACTCTTCTTTATCAATCTGGTTAAAATCCTTTCTGTCTGATCATTATTACCATGTACGCATCAACAACACTTTGTCCACACTTTATGTCGCAACTTCGTGGATACCTCAGGGGATTTGTGTTGGTACGATTCTACTCAATTTGTTTATTATTAATTTAGGGAGTTGCTTCCATTCGTCCGATTATCTATTTTTTTCCGATGACCTTAAAATATTTAAATGCATTTCGTCTCAGCATGATGTACTGGTTTTGCAAAAGGACTTACACAACTTGTCTGAAAAAAGTAGACATAACCAGTTACCACAAAAATTAGCTAAATACTATCAGATTACATTTACCAAATGTTTTTGTGCCATTCTTTCATCCATTAACGGGCAAGAACTTAGTCGTAAATCAGAAGCTTTGAACTTAGGAGTAATTTTCCACTCCAAGTTCTTATTCATTCAGCATATAAACTATATTATGCCGTATGCGGTCTTTGGGTTTGTTTACAAAATTATATTTATATTCGCCCTTTGTGCGGTCAATATTTGAGTATGCCTCGTTTATCTGGTGCCCATCCGCAATTGCGCACAAAAATAGAATTCAAAGGCTGCAATAACCATTTCCAAAATTTAATTAAAATTGCCTTAACTTAAATCCTAGTACGTCTACTGACGCTGATATTGTCTCAGTTAAGGTGTTAAGGTGTCTTTTCCTACACGGAATATCTATAAACCATGCTCTTATGTCCCTCCTTCTTCTGATATTCAAGTTTATATGAAACATATTAAGTATTAAAGAAGTTTCTTCACACGTGAGAGATAATGACCTATTTATGGTGTTGGGTGATTTTAATTTGCCGAACATCTCTTGATCATTATTCACTACTGAAAATTATCTAGTGCCCTCAGCACAGCACGACTTTATAGACTGCATGCTTGATCTTTCGTTGTTTCAAATCAATTCAATTTCTAATCATTTGAATAGAACACTTGATCTTGTATTTGTCTAGGTCCCCTCCTTTATCTCTTCCTGAGGATGTCTATCATCCTACTTTAGAAATTGCAATGCTGAATTGTAATCTTTTCATTTCGTGCCCAATAAGCCCCGCTATTGCTTCCGTAAAGGATATTATTCTTTGCTGAATCAGCTTATTTATACAACCGATTGGTCTTCCTTATATGACTCGGTTGATATGAATACTGCCATTAATTTTTTTATATCACCCTAAACTGTATTCCCAAGTCAATTCCTTCGACTACTTTCTCAAAACAACCGTGGTTTACTCCCAGATTATCACATCTAAAATATGTAAAATCTAAATATTTTAAAAAGTTAAAAAAGTCTGGTTCGTGTACAGACTTGGCTAAATATTCCATAGCCAAGTCGAACTTCTTTCTTCTTAATTCTCAATGCTACGAGAATTATCTAACTCGTTGTAAAAGGCAATTTGCCCAAAGGACAGTTTTATAATTTTGTAAACTTGAAGCGTAAATCTTCAAGGTTGCCATCTTCTTTCTCTCTTGGGATGGATAAAGCTAGCAATGACACTGATTCTGCTAACCTCTTTCCTAATTTTTTCCAATCAACTTACTCTTCAGTTTGTCCTAATACTAATTCTTACCCTTATACTATTTCTTCCGCTAGTTCTATACCTCCTCCCATTATTTAACACTCGTCTCTTCTATTAGCTTTAAGCTCTTTAAAATCTTCTTACTCTCCTGGGCCGGACAATATTCCTAGTTGTCTACTCAAGGAGTGTAGTTCTTCTTTTTCTTTATCCATTGCTAAAGCTATTTAATCTATCCCTTGAAACTTCTGTCTTTCCATCACTTTGGAAAGAATCTTTTATCATTCCGCTTCACAAGAAAGGTGGGAAGTCTGATATACATATATTCAGAGGCATTGCAAAACTGACCGCTATCCCTAAATTATTTGAAAAATAATCACTTCGAATTTGCAACATTTCTGCAAATCAGTTGTTTCTCTTGTTCAACATGGATTCGTAAAAAATCGGTCAACCACAACCAATCTATTTGAGTTTACTTCTTTGGTAAATTCTGACTTCCTTTCTAAAATGCAAACTGATGTCATTTACACTGACTTCAGTAAGGCGTTTGACTCTGTGCACCATGACATTTTACTTTTTAAACTTGACCGAAAAGTTTCCCTCCGTCTATTTTGCTTTGTATTAATTCTTATTTAAAAGGTAGGACCCAAAGAGTAATGCTGAGGCTGACTACCTCTGAACAGGTTCACGTTAATTCTGGTGTTCCTCAAGTAGTCATCTTGGACCTTTACTCATTACTCTGTACACATGTATGCGGTCGATATCAAACTTTTTCTATAATACTCTAATACCCTACATCATTCTCGTCTACAAGACGATTTGAACGCTATGCAACTTTGGTGTTCGGCCAATCAATTGCATCCAAATTGTTCAAAGTGTATGTTTATGACATTTAATCGTACTACACCCTATCTTGTCAGTTATACAATAGACAATATCCCTTTGCAGCGTATACTTACAGTTAAGGATCTAGGCGTTATTATTGATTCTAACTCTGTTTCAATCTTCACATAGATACCATTGTTAATAAGTCAAAAGGTGTACTTGGATTCATTAAACGATGGTCAAAAGAGTTTAACGATCCTTTTATAACAAAACTTCTGTACATCTCTCTTGTTCGCCCTAACCTTGAATACTGCTTTTGCATCTGGTCTCCGCAGTATAACAATAGCCAGGATCGTATTGAGTCTGTTTAAAAGCAATTTCTCCCCTCTTTTTATTTTTTCTTTTTTTGCTGGTGTGACTGTTGAGTAGAGTCGCCAGCAAGTAATGGGATCAGTTGCGAGTTCGAACCCTTCCAAGGGAACTTTTTGTTTTTAATTTATTTGGTGTTGGAATAAGAGGGTTCAGGTTATTCCCTAGTCGGGATCTCCCGACTAGAACCTCTTAGTTGTTTTTAATTTATTTAGTGTTGGAATAAGAGGGTTTAGGCAAAGACAACATAAACACTAAGATGAGTATCGCCATACTACAAAATGCTACCATGCAGCTTGATTTTTTTGAAAATTGAGAACGAAAACGAAATCTGTAGCATTGCGCTCTCACAGCCGAGAGAACGAAAAAGCTAAAAATAGAATGTGCTCTCAGCTTCGGCTCTTTGAGGGCAAGCAATTATGTTTGTATGCGTGGGAATATACATACATAACAGCATATTAATATGTGTTGTTATTCACTGCTCTGGCAAAGTCTCTGGCTGGCAAAGAAACAATTTTCTTAATTTTTTAGCGCAGATCACGACTTACTTAAAATTAAAATTTAAAATTTAAACTTAAAATTTCTGTTGATATATGAATGCATTTTGTGTACTGAGGTTGGCTCCGTAAAAAAAAATTTGTATTTTTAAGTCGTTTTATTATTATTAAAATTGTAATTTTTTTTTTTCGTTTAAATTTAGTTGTTGTTTTAGTTGGAGTGTGAGTTTGTAGTGGTAGTAGTTTTATCGGTCTAAGGTAGTTAATAGCTAAAACCCACAAAGGTACTGAAGTTTATTTTAAATGTAGCGTGCGCTGCTTTAATTGAAATAATAAATGCAAAAAAAAGAAATAATAGTTGTGAGCTTACCGATTAATAACTTCACGTAGACATATTCCAGATCCCTGTAGCTGAGCGAGCCCCATTACTAAGCCAGTTATTGGACCCCGGGATAATTCAACTCTTCGACCATGATAGTCAAAACATATCGGTAGTGCAGGACTGAATATAAACTCCTTAAAGTAAATAGCTTCATTTTCAAAAGAATCTTCAGCATGTTGTGCACATTCTGAAGCCATTATTCCAGTGGAATCATAGAAATCTTTTCCTTCATTCCATTTGAAATCATGCAAGCCAATTGACATTTCATTTATAGTCATCATAGGTAATCTTTCATGTTTTATGAGCTCTAAATTACTTCTACTTTCCGTGTCTTCATTCGTAGATCTCTTAACTAAAGCAGAAAAAAATTCTTCCAAGAACAATAAAGTGTCTTGATCAATATTTAGTCTGATAGGTAAAATCGATACTTTTAATGAACATTCCTCTGCTCGGTTTTTTTTAACATTTGATCGAACGTTTAGTGATTTCACCGTTACCATGTTTAAATCGTTCCTTGGTGGTATATTGTTTTTATTAGCGTGGTAAAGAAGCTTATTAATATCTGATGAAAGTAAACGGTCCCGTATCTCTATATCCGATATAACCAATACCTGTCGGGATGAGTATATTGAGTGTTTAGCGTAAACATCGTAGGAGAAACGTATTTTCGAAAATTGAATTTCTACAAGTACATCTGAATTGCGAGATGTCTTTAATTCGTCATTTATTATTTTCATATTTTTTGCCTGGCCTCTGCTAAGTGCTTGAGACACGCCGTGCTTATAAGTTTCCGACATTCCAATGTCTGTAAAACTAAAATGAGAAAAGGATAACTTTAATATTTCCAGCAAAAAAAATTTACGCACATTAAAAAAAAAGAATATATATTATTTTTAATAAAAAACAACAGACAACATCTGATGCAAAAAGTGCGCTACTTGAGACATATGTGTTTGTGTTTGCTTGTGGGATACATTCAATCAGGCTTACTATATAATATTCTTATTATAAATAGTTATAGATAGGTCAAACTGCAAAAAAATCGAAACAAGAATATTTGATACGAGTGAGCCCATGAGTGCGTAAGAGTGCCCAGAGTGAGTAAGACTGCTGAGAGTGGCAGCCGATTCCTTAATATTTGTATGTTATAGCCTCAGTCCACTGAACACATTTCTCATACATTTCAGAAAATCACATTTTTGACAAATGTGTGAAATGCGCCCTGTGCGTTTCCCCATAAGAAAACACATTTCACACATCTTTCAACAAAGGCACATATTTTAAATATGTGTAAATTCGCCCGGAACATTTCGTGTTTTTTTGCAAGGATTAATCGTGATTTCTATCGATGTTTTGAAAAATGGTACAGTATCATAACCATAAAGAGCTGATATATCAACGAAAGCAAACGGCAACTTTAAAAAAGAAATTAAAAAATAGAATAATCCCACAGTTTTTAGAATTTAAACATGGCGAAATCTCGAAAAGAGTGCCTAAAATGGAGGCCTTACTTCGACAGCACAATTTTTGAGTTTTGGAAGAAGAACTTTACGGCGCCTATGTAAATTAAAGAAACTCGATCAGCTGTTTTTTAAAGAAGCGGTACTTTTGCCACTCACATGTTACCAAAAACCGGTGAAAACACCAATATGTGAGATTTGAAAATTCCTTAAGCAGTTGACAGAGGCTATTAGTTTTAAATCCTTACCGCCCAAATACATATGTACTTTGCACACTTGTGTGCATCTCATTCACCTTGCATAGCTTTTCAAAATCCAACAATGAAGAGGCTCCCTCTCCTCTCCTCCCCCGAATAGGGGGTAGGGCTGGAACTCGCGACAGACTGCACCACTTGCTATGCCTCTACTTAGCGGCCACACTAATAATTAAATACTTATGATAAAAAAGGAACTAAAATAACATTACAGAAAAAAGTCGCAATTATCATGCTGTTAGAATGCGAAGCAGACGCGCATGTGAATGTGTGTGTGTACATGTATACAGAAATTCTTAAAGCTGCTGCCCCATTCAATTGCGCAGTTGCATATAACATTGTTTTTTTCTTAACCAATTTTTATGACATTTTCTACAGTATATATTATTGTACCATAGAATGTTTGTATATTATGAAAAAGTTGATTGCTTTTAAATTGTGGCTTAAATTAGTTGGCAATAAAAGTTGGGTTATTAACTTGATTTATAGCTCTGGGGTGGTACCGGAGAGGTGGCGATAGGTATAAAATGAAAGATACTTGACATATATATAATATAAACATATCATGTTTGGTGGCTCTATGTCTTATTATTTACCCAATTTGCTCAAAAAAAGTGTCGATATCGATTTTTATCGAATGCTTGGAAACGGAGTAAGTTATCGATTATCGGAAACAAACTCGATCTGCGCGGGCACTAGGAACACCTACATCTAAAATTTCAAGTCTCTAGCTCATAGGTTCTGAGATCCTTGCGTTCATACATACGGACAGACGGACGGATAGACAGACGGACATGGCTAGATCGACTCGGCTATTGATGGTGATCAAGAATATAAATACTTTGTGGGGTCGGAGATGCCTTTTTCTGCCTGTTAATACATTTGCATTTTGCACAAATACAATATACCCTTTTTACCCATTTTCAATAGGTTCAGGGTATAAAAAAACTATTTAAGATTCGAATTATGTCAGTTTCTAAAATTTTCAAGAAAGAAAGAAAACACAAGACTCTGCATGTATACTCACAAAAGGTATACTTATTGCAACGGCGAATAAGTACATTAATTTAATTTTACCCGGAATCCACGTAAAAAAAGCTATAATGATTTTATGGAAATGTACGTCAAGGCCAGCAAGAGGGAACCGTGACTTCACTAGGTATATAAGTTACCGAGTGTCCCTCACATGTAGTAATTTTGTCGGACGACGGCAACCCGATTCCTTGTATGTGTCGCAAGATCAGCGTTATCGCTTATTCCGAGTCGGTATAAAATTTTAGATGTAGATGCTCCTAGTTCTCGCGCAGATCGAGTTTGTTTTCGATAGTCGATAACTTACTCCGTTTCCAAGCAATCGATAAAAATCGATATCGATATTCTGTTTTTTGGGCAATTTTGGTAAATAATAAGAGCTAGAGTCACCAAACTTGATATATAGCTTCTAAAATAAAATACATATATGCATTTGATGTTGGAAGAAGAGGGTGCAGGGTATTCCCTAGTCGGGAGCTCCCGACTAGAACCTTTTACTTGTTTTTACATGCACTGGCATTTTTCTCAATAAAATATCTAATAAACATTAAAACGACCTAATGTTGGAAATTATTAAAGCAGTTTTTTATCCGATACTAACTTTGTAAGTCTAACATTAATGACAGATCTATGCCTTATTTTTTGTTTCAGCAAAACTGCCAGAGGCTGCAATATATAACTTTACAGGCAGCTGCGCGTACCCAAACTAAAATTAGGTTTATACATATTTTATTAAAAACATTTTACGTACCTCTTATTATCTGTTGACTTTCGGGTAGTAATAAAATCTGGAAAATCTTTTCCTCCAAACAGATGCCAAGTAAATGTCATTTCACATAATGTATAGCTTTCCTCGGGTACTGGGAAAGAGGAATGAGGTCGTAGGAGATCAATTTTTTCACTGGGTAAGCTGAAGTGATTGTCAACTATTTGAAGTGGGTCTTCGGAGACGTATATCTCCTCGATACCAAAATTATCCTTCGAAAGAAAATAAGAAATAAACAATAAAAATTACACTTCAGCGCTTCATTTAGTGTATAATTCTTAGAAGGATATATCCATATATCCATACAATATACATATTTATTCTATGTCAGCATCAACATCGAGCTAATAGAGCAATAACAGCCGAGCTAAGAGTGCCATGTCCATCTATTCGTCTGATTATTGCTAAGCGAACTAATCTCCCAGTTTTCAAGCTATGGGTCCGGCTGAATCGGACAACTATATTATATAGTTGCGATTGGAATGATCTGATGCATTATGCATACAAAATCTTATCACCATAATATTGCTGCTTTAGAACGATCGGTCAAACATTTGTTTAATAAAATAATTTCATAAAACTCTTCACATACACCGTAAAGAAAATGTCGACAGGTGTAAAAAATTTGTGGCGAGCCTAATATATCCTTAATTACTTGTTTTAAAATAATAGGCCCCTATAAATGGAAAAATAGAATAAAATTTCAAAAGCGCCTTGATTACGAAGTGGAGTGGGATCACTTCGTTATTTCCATAAACTTCAGATACTCGCAGTATTTCAGTTTAACCGATTAAAGCTCATGCCAATCGGTTTGTATCGCGTCCAATCAATCAATCATAATATTAATTGAAGAAAAAATAAACAAATGTATTTGACATCAAAAAAGCTTTTGGATTTACAATAGCATAAAACCACATCTTATTCAAATGTATCCGCCATAAAAATGTTAAACCACAATTAAAGTAATTTGCCATAATATGTTAGTATAATGTTATGCTCACTTGGCATGCTAATCTGCATATATACAAAAAATATATGTATAAATAGCACCAGCTACCAACTAACATTTGCATTGGTCGGACCACGCTTTTTTTTTAAAATCATATCATAGGGACATATCGTTGTTTCCACTCAATCAGAAGCCACTCAAGCATTACTTGGGGTATATAGGTCAGAAAGATCAACAACTCACCCAAAAAAAAAGGTATATTTTTATTATATTTAGGGGAGCAGCAAAAACACTATTTAAGGAATAAGTTAATCTTCAAACCTTTTATAATACGGAAAGTTGTTCTTTATTCAAACATCAAAATTTAGAATGACTTCAGCTTATTTATTAACATCCTGATCTAGATGTGGGTTGGTGGCAGCGACGGTGTCTTTGATGGCAACTCAGCTGACTTTAGCATAAGAGTTTTGTTGGAATTTGCACGAACAAAGAATTGGCACATTTTGCAAGAGTTCTTGGAGTGAACGCTGCGTACGTTTTGCTAGCAAGTGTTGGGGCATATGACTGTTTTATTGAACTCTGTTTGCTTATGTTATTGAAGTTGAGCACTGCTTTAAAGTAATTGTTGCGCAATGAGTTTATACTTAACTCTTCCTCCGTAGGTACCTAGTCCTAGAGTAGCCATTAGATAAAGTTTTGGAATTCTGTTCCTTTGTTATTGTGGTGTCATTCGTAAAGTGCACTACGTATGTATCTTTCAGATAATGGTTGATAATATTCTGAGTGACGCTGCCAGAAGAGTTATTAAGTAGAATTATGCTATTGTCTATTTCCTTTATTGGTTGAATATGATCCATATTACCATAATCACACAGCTATTTCTGTCTCTGAACAAACTTAGAAATGCTGTTAAATTCGTTAAGGTTAATGGGTAATCTATCTATAGTTAATTTATGTGCAATCAAGATTTTTCCATTAAAAGATACAATGCTAGGCCCTACCAAACAATTTGAAAACATATATATAATATTGAACCAATATTGTATTGTACTTAGGTTGCTTCATTGATAAAATGTAGCACTAGCATTGTATCTTTTAATAGAAAAATTTTGTTTGTCTATAAATGAACTAAACAGGTTTACATAACTTCTGGTGTTTCTTCAGGTAGTCATCTTGGATCTTTACTCTTTTATATTGGTGTTCAACCAAATTTATCACCGTCAATCGTCAGTTATACAATCGAGAATACTGTATTGCTAACTGTTAACCGCAGAGTAGCTAAGTTAGAAAAAGACACAACGGCAGTGATCGCTCCGCCGTGGTGTAGGTTAGGATTAGTAAGCCTGATCGGTGCTACTGGGATTGCTCCGCCACAAAGTTAAAATTGTAAATAAATGGTCACAGTTCGGTTCCGATTGACGAAAGATCAAAGAAAACCCAAAAGCACTGACAGTTTTCAATTATATTCTGTTATATTTATGTCAGTATTTAGTATTGTCGTAAGTTTTATGATATTGGTTGATTGTTACCTTATTGAATAGTAATTGTTTACAATATTAATTGCTTTCGATATCTAGTAGTAGGATCAATGATACCGATAACCAAATTATCGATACTTGAGATTTTCCGTATGAAGCGAAAAGACTTTAATAAAAAATTGCCGGAAAAGTATAAAGAAAAGGATATTGCGGCATCATAATAAGTTCAGGAGTGGGATAAGTAATCCAACAACGACAGACATTTTCTTTTCCACTCGACAGTCCTGCAGTTTCAAAAGAAAAAGAGAAAAACTCTTTGCTTGGAATTTAGCATGAAATTCACGGCATAAGATGAAACAAGTAAGAGTTTCTAGTCGCGAACTCCCGACTAAAAGATTCCCTGAACCCTACGCGCTCGTTTGTAGAAATGATGATAAATAATAAACGAGAAAGAAACGGCACGCCAAAGATCTAATACCCTTGCAGACCCAACCTTTTTATAATGCTCATAGTGCTTTGCCCCTATCTAAGAAGTACCGGGAAAATAGTAAATGCCGAGTTTGGTCAAGATATCTTGATAAACAAAATGTTTTTTCATACAACTTAATTTTCGACCGATCGTTCCTATGGCAGCTATATGATATAGTGGTCCTATCTTAATAGGATTTTGCATATATATGAGGAGTAGAGTAAAACTAATAAATGCCGAGTTTGGTCAAGATATCTTGAAAAACAAAATGTTTTTTCATACAAAAACTTAATTTTCGACCGATCGTTCCTATTGCAGCTATATGATATAGTGGTCCGATCTTAATGGGATTTTGCATATATATGAGTAGTAAAGTAAAACTAATAAATGCCGAGTTTTTTCAGGATATCTTGAAAAACAAAATGTTTTTTCATACAAAAACTTAATTTTTGACCGATCGTTCCTATGGCAGCTATATGATATAGTGGTCCGATCCAGCTGGTTTTCACATATGTGCTGCGTGCAACAGAAAGAGGGAGTTCTGCAAAGTTTTATTAAGATAGCTTTAAAACTGAGGGGCTAGTTCGCATAGAAACCGACACACGGACAGACGGACATGGCTATATCGACTCGGCTGTTGATGCTGATTAAGAATATATATACTTTATGGGTTCGGAGATGTCTCCTTCTATGCGTTACACACCTCACGACAAAATTATAATAACCTCTGCAAGGGTATCAAAAAAGTTCCTTTTGGCAACGCTCGATCCCGCGATAAACCGCATCAATTGCCACTGCCTCTACTCAACAGCCACAACAATTATTAATTCCTTATGAGAAAAAAAGAATGAAAATAGCAGCATAGAAGACTATACAATAGCAATTGCAATGTTGTTGATAGAATTCGAAGCAGACGCGCATGAATTTGTGTGTGTTCTTGGAAATAATTTCTGTGTGTGTAACAGTATATCTTGTCGTAGTATATAATATTTATGTATTATCAAAGATTCAATTTCATTTATTGTGGCTTAAATTGGTTGGCAATACAAGATAGGTTATTAACTTGATTTATAACTCTGCAGTGGTATGGGTACGTGGCGATAGGTATAAAACAACGATACCTAATATATATATATACGATATTCTACAAGCATCATATCAAGTTTGGTGACTCTAGCTCTTAATATTTACCCAATTTACTCAAAAAACAGGATGAAGATATCGATTTTTATAGAAGAAGTTATCGATTATCGGAAACAAACTCAATTTGCGCATGGAGTAGGAGGACCTACATATTAAATTTTAATTTCTCTAGCTCCTATCCTTGCGTTCATACATACGGACGGACGGACAGACAGACGGATATGGCTGATCAAGAATATATAAAAATATATATACTTGATGGGGTCGGAGATCGGAGGGAGAATGTTAAATACATTTTGCACAAACACAATATACCCTTTTTACCATTTTTAAATGGGTTCAGGTCAAAAAAATATATACGAAACCGCGCCCTCAAGAAATACGATATTGATTTCTGAACTTGAAACTCTAATGCTACACATGCTACACTCACAAAGATTAGAATTATTAACCCTGCAATTTTACGTAGTGTAACCATTTCTGGTTGCATTACTCAATATAATGGGCCACCTAGAAATATTTAGTCTACCATATTACAAATAGAAAGCATTACTCAATATAATGGGCCACCAAGAAATCTTAGTCTACCATATTACAAATAGTTATTTGTAATATGGTAGACTAAATATATATATATATGTATTACAAATAGTTATTTGTAATATGGTAGACTAAATATTTCTTGGTGGCCCATTATATTGAGTAATGCTTTCTATACTCCGATTTTGTAAGTAATATTGACGCCGCTGGGCCAGGAGATTTGTTCACATAGCTCTTTAGGTGAGGATGTAAAGTACCATTCACCAAGAACTCTTCGTCGTAGTAATATCTAGTGGTCGTAGGTAACGAGAAATGTTTGCGTCACTGTTTTTTTTTCGATATCTGCATAAAAACGCTGTAGACAGCGCGAAAATAGCGTCCGTTTTTTGGCAATTTACCACAGTTGCGGGTGAAAACGTATTATTAAAACGTATTATTTATTAACTCAACGTATTATTCATTAACCTAAGATTGAAGCAAATCGGATAAAACTTAAATTGTTGTCCAACAAATATTTGACTCGGCTTTCCACCGAATTTGCTTGGAATCTGCTAAAAATGTGAGAGACACGTCTTAAAGAATATTTTGGAATCTTTGAAAATGAATTAAAACGTGAAACTTCTGATACAATTA